GGACAGGGAAGTAAGAGAGGTGAAAGCAGAAGGGACAGGGGGGGGGGAGGAGCTGGGACAAGCAGGGGTTTGTTGCTTTTACTGGTTCTCACGGTCTCTTCGCTTGTGGATTTCTTATATTTTTCCTTCTACCCTGAAGATGGAGGGGATACGTTCCTCCGAAAGTCAGTTTACACCACATATACATGGTGCCAAATCCCAGAAGACTGCTTTCTTCAGGAACTATTAAACTTGCTTTCTACAGAAGATAGAGAATTTCTTGACCAACTCAGCAACTATTAGCTTCCCAAGAAGTACTTTCCTCTGTGAAGATAATTTGTTACTTTTTAATCTTTTATTACAATCATTTAATAACCCAATGTCAGTATGATACTATATGTGCAACAAATTTAGTTTAATTTCTAAAAGAAATAATTTTCTTTCCTTTCATCTCTTGTACTTGTAGATGGATACCAAGTTCAACCCTGAAGATGAATGCAGCATATTCCTCCAGAAGTATTGGTATCTACCTCCACCCAGTGTCACAACCCAGGGGAATAGAATTTAAACAAAGTGAGCTCATGTACTGTGAAAAATAGAAAGACCAACTAGACCCATGAAGAATGCAGCATATAATGGAACATATCTCAGAAAAATCTGTCCCTGAATAAAGCCCAACATGATGAATGCAACCTTGCATATTACTTGTAGAATATCTCTTAAGTTTTCTTACTCTGGTATAATAACTGCCTGTTTGTTTCAGTAATCTAATCGTTTATATTCTTAAAATTTTCCTCACTAGATTTGCATTCACTGAACAAGTCTGAAATGAAAAACAAATTATTTCTTAGAGAAATGGATTAAAGGCTAATTAACTTCATGGAGTAGAACATATTTTGAGCAAGCAATTATTGCTTAGTTGGTCAGGAAATTCCCAGGCCTTACAGAAACAAAAGCTTCATTGCCATGTTTGCAAAAGCATGCCACTGGTCCCTATCCAGAGCCAGATGGATCCAGCTAAAACAAATACTTTATTCCTTTACAATAAACTGTGATATTATCTAGTCCTGAGTATGGTAACTGTGTCTTCCTTTAAGGTTTTCTAACTAGAATTCTATATGCATTCCTCACTCCTCTCATTCATGGCCAAATAGCAGGTTCTTGTGAATATGGTAATGATCTCTGGGCACCATAAAAGTCAGAGATATCTTGGCTAGCTCAGCAACTGTTAGTTTCCCAAGAAGGGCTCTGCTCCGTGCAGTGAATTAGTTTACACGCATATTCTTTGGATCATACAGATCAAATGTAAAATGCAGGTGTCACTGGTGACTTACCATAGTTTCTGATGGTCCCCAGTATTTCTGGGATTGTCATTCTGTTACCTTTAACATACTTGTAGACTTTTATTTAGATACTGTAACCTTCAACATTTTTTCCAAGGTATTTCTGAACAATTTCTAAACAAACACTGTGCCAGTGTACATATCCTTTTCACACATACTTCAAGGATTATGCAGTTACTGTCTTGTGGGTATATTCCATATAAAACTTAAGGTTTAAAAATATCTTCAATTTTTTTTCTGCCATTTTTGGAAAATGGTTAGCTGAGATGGATTGAACTGCACCCAGCTACTTGAAAGGGAATGTACTGAAATAGCTATGATAATACGGAGATTACAATAGCAGCAGAACAAAACTACCTTAAAAGATTAGCAATGAACAGAAAAACAGTGTACTTGATTAAATAACTAGAAAACCTGGATTAACGGCCATGGGGATTCATTGTGCTGACCACGTGACACCTTCTATCTGCAAAAGTTGGCATTAACTTCGGTGACAAGTGAAGGTCACCTGATTGGTACTGTTCACTTGTGGACTACAGGCAGTGGATAGTTATTTCAAACAAAAGACTTACATATCTGTTTTAAATTCCAACCTTCATCCAAATCTGAAGGTGTATGACTTAGAATTCCAAGCCATTATTTTTGTAGACAAAAATTAATATACTGACCCTAGTGTCATTAAAGTGCACTAACTGATCAAGTCAGAGGTTTCATTACACTGTTACATACACATACTCTGATACAGAAACGAATACCTTATATGTCATCTTCCTGTAGATTTATCAGTACTCATTCCTATCACTAGTTGCTGCTGTTGCCTCTGAAGTCCAGAGTTCAAGCGATGTAAATTGTTGGCTGATTTGTTGGCTGACACCTCAACATGGTGCATGTAGTCAGAAATTTCCTCCATCTATGAAGGGAACATGACAATCATGATGAGTTTCTGAACTCTATGATGCACTGATGGGAATGTAAAGTCAGCTGATTTAAGAAAAGTCATTTTTGCATATGGACAAGAAGCACTACACTAACATATGTTCTTAGCCAGGTTCTCTGAAACATCAGCAATCCAGACCATGAGAACTATATACAAAAGGGGCACAACACTGACACCACAAAATGAAAATAATGCAGAGAAATGAGAGAATGTTCATTCTCAAACAAACACATTTTAGTGTAAATGACGATATGAAATAGCATGGGTTGCATTGACATACAAACTGGTACAGTGCAGTGGTTTCAACTGATTAACAGTAGCCTGAAGATGGCCCTTAAGGCTGAAACATGTTACAGTTGAATGCGATTTTAATGGCATTTTAAAATAATGGTGAGACTGTGAACGATTTTTGGTTGCAATAGGGATGAAAATGATTGAACGTGCGATAAAGGGACTGAAGAGAAAAGTTGGTCTGGAATTGTTTACCAAGAGAACAATGTCAACCTTGTGAACTGAGTTTTGGTCATTTAGCTAGAAAAACTGATAAATGTGTACATTTAAAGATCAAATTTATAACTGGTTAAAGAGAGATAAACGATCTTTTTGATTACTGATAACCCCATCAATTATCCTACATACCGTCCCAATTCACCTTACTGCCATCTGTGAGCCGAATGTCTAGAAAATGTGGGAGCCTCAACCTCTCACAACCTTATGGGCCTTCATGGCCTGTCACAGGGATAAATTTGCCTTACTGTCCCAATTCTTCAGAAAACTAAGTTTTAACTTGTAATTGTAGATCTACCACTAAGAATGTGAACTAAAGGTTGCAGTTAAAATGCAAATCTCGGCTGTTGTCCTCACAACAAGCAGCCTCATGGTGAATCAGGTCAACCTGTCATTCTCAGATATTCTCACAACAGATCTCAGTCAATTCCATATAACAGGGTGGAAGAGAGACTCACCAAGAGTTCAATCTCCACCTCTCAAAATGACCTCTCTGTAACATCATCACAAAAGATCTCTTACAACAAATATGGGGTGGCATATTCCAAGTAAATAAATGACATTAAGACATCTGTACAAACTGAGTAAGTTGTTGTTCTTATGATTACTACAATATATAAAACAGTAATCTATGCCTGGATACTGATTCAACTGCATAGGTAACACAGAATTTAACAAAATTAAAACTTCATGTACATTGGAAATTCAAAGCCTTCGCTGTGATTTAGGTCCCATGTTAAGTCGCAGGTTTCCTCTGCCAGCCATCATCATCTACATTATCTTCGAACCAATGTGTAAAAAAGAAGGAAATTCCACCCCCTTTGTAATCCTATCAAAAAGACTGACGCCTACATGGATGATCAGAGATCATACCTGCAGACATAAGTGCCTAACAAAACGGCAAATAACCAAACAAATATCAACTTTCACACAAATATTATCTAATACTCTATTAATGACCCTGGCTATTTAATTTGTTAATAACAGACTTTCAATGAAAAACGTACATAAGGAGAATTACATGGCCACCTCTCCTGCCTCACTTAATGCTCTAAAAATGTAATCTGATCAGGTATCACCCTTTGAATTTGCTTAGTGCCCAATTAAGGACTAGCAAAAATAAAACAGGGGTAATTATAAGGTAGTAATACATGTTAAATGTTATATTACGTTACTTACATACTGTTTGTAACTTTCAAGCCTGTGATATTTCTGGTTGCTATCGTACAGGTACTTCATTTTTCTTAGGATGAATAAAGATATAAATAATCCCCCAATGATCATTACAATAGATAACGCATGGGGGAATCGCCGACGTAAAAACATGCTGTACGCAGTACCACATCTTCCAGCACGAGTCCAGTGGGCTAGGTTACAATACCAGACCTACTCTCACACGAGAAATACACGTCAGGGGTAACTTGTTGGATTCCGGTGAAACAATTTAAACAAAAGCAAATAACTGTTCTTATCAATTCTCAGTTACATGTATAATGCTCCTGTATAATTCTTTACAAACATAACGGGGGCCTATTCACTACAAGACATCGTAAAAATACTTCAATAAAATCAAATAAGTTACCACACTAATAGCCCCACAACTTATCAACCTCCCACCACCACGTAACACAAAATCAACCAATCAACTACATCAACAACGGCAAAGAACGTCACAGATCATAGATAACTGGTATAAACCTACATACTCACAGCAACAATGTGACCTTCACACTTCAACCCACGGATTACTCCCAAATCTAAACTGTGCACGGATAATGGATCAACTCCTGCGTCTGTACTTCATACCTCGTAACTTTACATAATTTGGATTGCTGTGTACGATATGCACGATCTCCTTTACAAAGCCTGGACTGACAAAGGACTTGTACATAGTGCAAAAGTAAGAATTTTTAAGAACATGCTATAAGTATATGCAGTGCTTGAGGTGGAATGAAAATAGAGCCGGGACATAGGCATTTACTGCCAAAGAAGTAACGGGATGCTTTTAAGCCATTTAGAAAAGAACCGGGATACCATCCCGCCCCACCTCAAGCCCTGTTTATAGTCAAGATTCACATAAATGCCCAACCAGCCAGTCTTTCTGGACACAAAACTTTTCGCAGCATTCTATGAATGCTCTCTGCCAGCTTTCAGTATCAGAGATATGTATTACTGTATGTTGTTCCTGAAGGTTCTATCTTATAGGATATAATACTGTGTAGTCTCTTTAAAGTCAACCAGCGTTTCAGACGAACACAACACAATCTTTCACAGCCAAAGGATAAGCCAAGCTAGAATCTTAGAAGTGGAAGTTTTCATCAGCAGTGCTCTGGAACCTCAAATCCTACATATTGTGACATGTTGCGCAACCGAGGACCCCTACCTCCCCAGTGGCACGTGGCGGTAACGTAGCACTCGCGTAATAGGCGAGTCATCACCCCACCACTCTCCCCGCGGTGACGTCACGAGCGGAGCCGAAGTTAGCCGAGTCCCCGCAACCTGGTAGCTATGCAACGGGAATCAACAACGGTGACGTCACCAAGGGGTAACAGCGTTGGTAGGGTGATGACTTGCCCATTACGCGAGCGCTACGTTACCGCCACGTGCCGCTGGGGAGGTAGGGGTCCTTCGTTGCGCAACATGTCACACTATA